GATCTGAATAGCTCAGTTGGAAGAGCAGTCGCCCGGCAAGCGAAAGGTCTCGGGTTCGATTCCCGATTCTGCGACTTTCGGATCTATATTTTTCTCTCGCACTTTATTTCTTTAGGGGGAATAGGGGATACATGGAATTAAAAATCTCTTGTAGAGATTATTCCAATTTTATATCTTGGCCGTGTCCAAGTAAAAATTTGGTGCCTTGTGCACAGGTATTTATTTCTAACGAAAAAATTTAGTTTCGTTTAGAATAACGCACTGTCATCCGCGATTTGGCTCTTATTGCCTATCTTATATATGTTAAATTTATATTTATATATTACAGAGCCTAGTTAAACTCTTAATTTATACACGCTGGCTTAAAGGCGTTTATTTACCAACATTAATATATATAACAGAGAAAAGTATAGAATCGAAAGGATCTGAATAGCTCAGTTGGAAGAGCAGTCGCCCGGCAAGCGAAAGGTCTCGGGTTCGATTCCCGATTCTGCGACTTTCGGATCTATATTTTTCTCTCGCACTTTATTTCTTTAGGGGGAATAGGGGATACATGGAATTAAAAATCTCTTGTAGAGATTATTCCAATTTTATATCTTGGCCGTGTCCAAGTAAAAATTTGGTGCCTTGTGCACAGGTATTTATTTCTAACGAAAAAATTTAGTTTCGTTTAGAATAACGCACTGTCATCCGCGATTTGGCTCTTATTGCCTATCTTATATATGTTAAATTTATATTTATATATTACAGAGCCTAGTTAAACTCTTAATTTATACACGCTGGCTTAAAGGCGTTTATTTACCAACATTAATATATATAACAGAGAAAAGTATAGAATCGAAAGGATCTGAATAGCTCAGTTGGAAGAGCAGTCGCCCGGCAAGCGAAAGGTCTCGGGTTCGATTCCCGATTCTGCGACTTTCGGATCTATATTTTTCTCTCGCACTTTATTTCTTTAGGGGGAATAGGGGATACATGGAATTAAAAATCTCTTGTAGAGATTATTCCAATTTTATATCTTGGCCGTGTCCAAGTAAAAATTTGGTGCCTTGTGCACAGGTATTTAAAAAAATTTAGTTTCGTTTAGAATAACGCACTGTCATCCGCGATTTGGCTCTTATTGCCTATCTTATATATGTTAAATTTATATTTATATATTACAGAGCCTAGTTAAACTCTTAATTTATACACGCTGGCTTAAAGGCGTTTATTTACCAACATTAATATATATAACAGAGAAAAGTATAGAATCGAAAGGATCTGAATAGCTCAGTTGGAAGAGCAGTCGCCCGGCAAGCGAAAGGTCTCGGGTTCGATTCCCGATTCTGCGACTTTCGGATCTATATTTTTCTCTCGCACTTTATTTCTTTAGGGGGAATAGGGGATACATGGAATTAAAAATCTCTTGTAGAGATTATTCCAATTTTATATCTTGGCCGTGTCCAAGTAAAAATTTGGTGCCTTGTGCACAGGTATTTATTCTAACGAAAAAATTTAGTTTCGTTTAGAATAACGCACTGTCATCCGCGATTTGGCTCTTATTGCCTATCTTATATATGTTAAATTTATATTTATATATTACAGAGCCTAGTTAAACTCTTAATTTATACACGCTGGCTTAAAGGCGTTTATTTACCAACATTAATATATATAACAGAGAAAAGTATAGAATCGAAAGGATCTGAATAGCTCAGTTGGAAGAGCAGTCGCCCGGCAAGCGAAAGGTCTCGGGTTCGATTCCCGATTCTGCGACTTTCGGATCTATATTTTTCTCTCGCACTTTATTTCTTTAGGGGGAATAGGGGATACATGGAATTAAAAATCTCTTGTAGAGATTATTCCAATTTTATATCTTGGCCGTGTCCAAGTAAAAATTTGGTGCCTTGTGCACAGGTATTTATTTCTAACGAAAAAATTTAGTTTCGTTTAGAATAACGCACTGTCATCCGCGATTTGGCTCTTATTGCCTATCTTATATATGTTAAATTTATATTTATATATTACAGAGCCTAGTTAAACTCTTAATTTATACACGCTGGCTTAAAGGCGTTTATTTACCAACATTAATATATATAACAGAGAAAAGTATAGAATCGAAAGGATCTGAATAGCTCAGTTGGAAGAGCAGTCGCCCGGCAAGCGAAAGGTCTCGGGTTCGATTCCCGATTCTGCGACTTTCGGATCTATATTTTTCTCTCGCACTTTATTTCTTTAGGGGGAATAGGGGATACATGGAATTAAAAATCTCTTGTAGAGATTATTCCAATTTTATATCTTGGCCGTGTCCAAGTAAAAATTTGGTGCCTTGTGCACAGGTATTTATTTCTAACGAAAAAATTTAGTTTCGTTTAGAATAACGCACTGTCATCCGCGATTTGGCTCTTATTGCCTATCTTATATATGTTAAATTTATATTTATATATTACAGAGCCTAGTTAAACTCTTAATTTATACACGCTGGCTTAAAGGCGTTTATTTACCAACATTAATATATATAACAGAGAAAAGTATAGAATCGAAAGGATCTGAATAGCTCAGTTGGAAGAGCAGTCGCCCGGCAAGCGAAAGGTCTCGGGTTCGATTCCCGATTCTGCGACTTTCGGATCTATATTTTTCTCTTGCACTTTATTTCTTTAGGGGGAATAGGGGATACATGGAATTAAAAATCTCTTGTAGAGATTATTCCAATTTTATATCTTGGCCGTGTCCAAGTAAAAATTTGGTGCCTTGTGCACAGGTATTTATTTCTAACGAAAAAATTTAGTTTCGTTTAGAATAACGCACTGTCATCCGCGATTTGGCTCTTATTGCCTATCTTATATATGTTAAATTTATATTTATATATTACAGAGCCTAGTTAAACTCTTAATTTATACACGCTGGCTTAAAGGCGTTTATTTACCAACATTAATATATATAACAGAGAAAAGTATAGAATCGAAAGGATCTGAATAGCTCAGTTGGAAGAGCAGTCGCCCGGCAAGCGAAAGGTCTCGGGTTCGATTCCCGATTCTGCGACTTTCGGATCTATATTTTTCTCTCGCACTTTATTTCTTTAGGGGGAATAGGGGATACATGGAATTAAAAATCTCTTGTAGAGATTATTCCAATTCTATATCTTGGCCGTGTCCAAGTAAAAATTTGGTGCCTTGTGCACAGGTATTTATTTCTAACGAAAAAATTTAGTTTCGTTTAGAATAACGCACTGTCATCCGCGATTTGGCTCTTATTGCCTATCTTATATATGTTAAATTTATATTTATATATTACAGAGCCTAGTTAAACTCTTAATTTATACACGCTGGCTTAAAGGCGTTTATTTACCAACATTAATATATATAACAGAGAAAAGTATAGAATCGAAAGGATCTGAATAGCTCAGTTGGAAGAGCAGTCGCCCGGCAAGCGAAAGGTCTCGGGTTCGATTCCCGATTCTGCGACTTTCGGATCTATATTTTTCTCTCGCACTTTATTTCTTTAGGGGGAATAGGGGATACATGGAATTAAAAATCTCTTGTAGAGATTATTCCAATTTTATATCTTGGCCGTGTCCAAGTAAAAATTTGGTGCCTTGTGCACAGGTATTTATTTCTAACGAAAAAATTTAGTTTCGTTTAGAATAACGCACTGTCATCCGCGATTTGGCTCTTATTGCCTATCTTATATATGCTAATTTCTCTTATTTGCCGAAGAATGGCTTCTCTCTCTGTGGTATTATATATACGTGGGTGTTCGCAATACGCGAAAAAGAAATATGAAACGATATGCAACGTTTTGATGGTATCAGTTAATCAGAAAAAATATACGAAAGTCGATACTTTAATTACATAGTACGCGCATAATATATCAAGACATAAATTTTAAAGCGAAGAAAAAAATGAAGTTTCTCGAAAACTGAATATAAAACCATCAAATTATCGCAGATAAATGTATAATTTTCAATAATTATAATTAAATGTAACGCATTGCTTATGTAATATTAATTATTTGTATTCCATTTTATTGAGAAATTTTTATTAAGTTTATCGCTATTTCTCTTTTAAATGTATTGCCATCTTTTTATAAAAATTTATAATAAAAATCTTATATGTAATTATCCGGATAATATTTTTTAATTGCAGATCAATAATAATATTAATAATTGTATAATAAATATAAATATACGATCAATAATTACTATATGTAATAGAACATAAATTGTGAAATGAAATGATATATGCGGAGACGATGGTAATAAGGTTTACGTAACTGATTATATAAAAATTATGTAGAAAAATTCATGGTTTTCGTGTTATATAAAGTAGCAGAAGATTTATGGTTACAAGTTGTGCGCGGCAGTTCCGATGAAGAGATCCATTTGTCTTTGGAATAGATAGTTGCCTTCGACCTTTCGCGGGAGTGTTGTTTTCGCCGATGTAAAGTGACAGGACAGACCGCATTCGGTCCCAATTGTGTCAGGGCCCGTTCCTTCACCTCGCCTACGCTAAAAATGCTAAGCATGACACCGACCGATTCGGTGATCGTCGACATTTTTTTCGGATCCTAAATCACATATGTTCGCGAAAGTTGACACCTCGCGATAATGAAGAAAGAACGGGATTTAGGTTTCGATCGTTGTGCGCGTGCGTTCGTCATAGAAAATGTCATTATAATGACAATGTTAACGACAAGATAACCACATGATAATTACATCTAATAATTTACTTATATAATTTCATGATTTCTAATGTTTGGAATAAGGCGTTATTAATTAGTTAGTTTCGCCAAGTTCATTAATTGAAATAGACGCAATATAAAAAATAAATACAAAATATTGATCTGTCATAAAAGTTTGGACTAATTTTACGTGAGAATAATTAAGAATAACGCCAATAACAAATTTTATGTACTTCTCTATCTTTATAATATCTAAGAGAAAACATGTCATATCGAAACAAACAATCAATTAATGACACATTTGAGCGTCTCAGAAACGCACGACTTCCCGCTTCCTGTTTCAGAGCAACCGCCAAAAACTGAGCCTGAGGAAAGATCTGGCGTGGAGACCGACAGCATCGAGACCGGGCTGCGCAAGGTGATTCGAAAGGACAGACTGGCGAGTCCTTTACGAGTCTCGTCCCCGTCCAGGAGCACGGCGTCCTCGTCGACGGACGACAGGACCCCACGAGCCGGTTCCGTCGCGCGAGAGAACAGCAACCTATCCAAGACCTCGTCCGGAAGCAAGACGCCCAAGGACAGCAATTCCAGCCCGGAGGGTAGTCCGCTGAACCGAGGCGGCTCGATGCGCAACCGGGGTAACGGAACGGTCCGCAAGTCAACGCCGAGCGGAAGTCTCAGCAAAGCGCTGTCACCGATACCGATTCCCAGTTTCACGAAGACGACGTCCTTTGGCGGTAGCGCCACGTGGAACGGCCGTCAGACCAGGCGGCGAGCCAGCATTCAGACGGACACCTTCTTGGATCCGAGCTCGACGCCGGCCACGTGCGCCACGACGCCGAGTTTCTCGCGGAAGAGCCCGGGCAGGCAGAGTCTGCAGTCGCGGCCGAGCCTGAACGGAGTTCAGTACGATAGGAACGGCAGGAGGATCAGAGCGTCCGCTACGGGAACCGCGTCTCTCCAGTCGTCGCCTACGAAGGTGACGAATCCGTTGCTCGATCAGATACTGCAGAAACTGGGCGACTTGAAGGACGAGCGGCAGATGGTGCAGAAGCTGCAGGGCCTTCTGAGGGATTATCAGGCTACCTCGACCGACCGTGCTGCGAATATGGACTTCGCCAAAATGTGGGTGGACAGTAACGGGACGATGACTGTGCCTCAGGATGTTCAGGTATCGGTTTCTCCCCGAAAAGATCCCAAACCTCAGGAAGGTTGTTCGAGGATACCGGTGCCTCGTACCGTATCCTATAAAAGACCGATGTCCGTGGCATCGGATAGCGTTTGAGAGTGGTATATCGGGTAGCCTTCTTGCGTTAGGCTAAGTTAGGCTCTTCGACTCACCGCTGACATTAGCGAGAGCAACCATTCGCGTCTCTTGCTGCGCTTGATTCTTCATTCGATTTAATAGATGAGTCGGACGTCTTAATAACGGAGAGGAAATAATAGGGGTATATATATATTTTATAGTTGACTTTTAAAAATGTGTTTTATAATTGACTCGGAAAGATAGTACGTAAAGGGAGATTCAGAGATCTGTAGTTTGAAAAGTTTACCAATTTTTAGAAGTGCAGGAAAAGAAAAATCGAGAGAGTCCATGATAAGATTGAATTACTCTATACTAAAAAGATTATTTGTGATATCAAATTTTTACTTTTAGCGAGTGAAAAGTATCGTAAATAGTGGATTGGTCTAATTTATTTAAATTTTTTTAGACTATTTTAGATATTTTTTTAACATCGAAAGACGATGCTCTTTAAGAGATCGCTCCCTACTAAATATTTCAGAAATTCACAAAATTACAATTTTGTAATTTTTTTAATTATGTAAGCTTGAAGTTTCAAAGTGCTTGATATTTTTTTATCTCAAGATTTAAAATCAAAGTCAACTAACTTCAGATGCATTTTGAGATTAAAAAACACATTTACAAGTTTTAATATTTAAAACTTCAAAAACTTTAAAGAAAAATTCATAATTATAAAAAACAAAGAATTCAAAATCTAAATTTTTTTAAATTCTGGACTCTACACTTGAAAAATTCTTGTACTTGAAGTGTTTATTTTATTGCGGTGTGCATTATCATCACAGCAAACAATTTGACGCTTGGACTATTGCTTTCTATTTCTGCTCTTCGCCTACGCCTTCAAACAACCATCATTGTAGATCGAAGACGTCCGACTAGAGAGTAACTTAACGGTACGGGGTCAATCAGTTAGTAGCTCTTAGTAGTCACGTATCAGGGTGGTGCTTAGATGGTGCTGAAGAACGAGATGACGTTTACGATAGACGGCAAAATAAGAGAGAGAGAGAGAGAGAGAGAGAGAGAGAGAGAGAGAGAGAGAGAGAAAGGAAACTCGTTCCGTGGACAAGTTTTCAATTGATTAATACGGAAAAAGTGTGCAATTAAATGCGGCGAGTCTTGCATTAATGGTAGTCGATTTACGATTGCATCTTATATGTTCGTCAATTGCTGAGTTTGAAATAGTAATCTTTAAATCATGCACATTTTTTTTAAACTGCAAAAAATATTTTTATTATGATAATTTTTGCAAAAATTAAAAATTTCTTTATACATATATATAATAAATATATATATATATATATATATATTTATTATATATATACTTCTTATATACACATATATGTATATATGTAATAAATAGGTATATATTTATTATATATAAATATATGTATATATATACACATATATAATGTGTGTATGAGTATATAAAGTTTCTTTAAATTTAATTAAATATATAAATATTATATTTAAAACTTTTTTATTTTTTGATAAATACCATTCATGTGATTTGACGAGCGTGGTACTTTAATACTTAATATCAATGAATGATGCCAATTTTCAAGATCACGTATCGTGGAAGATTGTCGAGAGACCGTCGCGATTGCACGATCAATCGTTTTCACCGTTGCCGATCGGTAACGCCTAATCATTTTTATTTAATTATATAGTTTATCGATTATATTTATCAAAGATAATTTATTTATACGTTACGGCCTCGCCACGAAGGAGAGGAAAGAGAATGAAAGAAAAAGAACGAGAAAGGTACAGGAGAAAGAAAGAATCGAGGATCGAGTAAAAAAAAAAAAGTGAGAGAGACTCTCCCACGCTCGGATCCATCGGATATAAAATCAAACGACCCCATTTTTCCCCTTTTTTTCCCTTGCCCGTTTCCCTGAAAACTCCCGATAAGAAAACAGACTGCATTGTAGATAACGATGTGTGTGTCGTCGAAAAGAAATGCCATTCCAGTGTTTAACTGTTTTTTATACCAAACGCGAGCGTAGCGCCAAATTTTGTACCAAGTGTCTTAGTAACGGATTAAGGCGGAGAGAAAAGGATTTATTTTGTGCGACAAGATGATTAGCATGTGAAAGAGGGATATTTTTAGTACCGTGGTTTTAGATAGATAAACGGTCAATGTGCGAGTAGGAGCGTTTTATTATTCGGACGACGAATATATATGTTGCCGATATGATCCTCCTCCGTTCATTTCAGGAAAGTCTTCTTTAATTCGCTAACGTTGTACACGTGTTATACGTCGATCGAGGTAGGAAATGCGCGAAAATCGTGGCGAAAATCTTCCGTAATGAATATGAAGATTAGTCACGATGGACTCGAGTCGCCTTGCCTTATTCGGAATTCGATACGATTTCCTACGTCTTGCGCGTATAATGTCGTCGTGTTTTCTACACACGTACATACAATATATACACATACACACACACACACAGTTATATAATTATAATACAACATTGCCTGTAAATATATTCGCGAGCAGTTTCGGCGAAAAATCTTCTATTGCAATCAAATTGATCTCTAGTCTAGACGGCCATGGTGTGTATCATTTATTTCACTTCGAAATGACGTTTAAATAAATGCACACAAAACAGATGGTCGAGAAAACACGACGGATTTGCTACTGAAGTTCGGTGCTGCGCAAACATATGGCGTTTTTACATCTTCTGTAAATATATAACGAGTACGTTGTTATAAAAAGCATATCTTCGTTTTTATCCTGTAAAGTATATTCTACTAAGTTAAGCTATAAGTTGACTTAACCCTTCGATAATCATCGTCGCGATTAACACGGGTTATTTGTTACATGTCTCATTATAGTCTTCACGATAAAATACGTATTTTTATATTTGGACTTCTCATCATAGTTTTATGGAGAGCACTAGCATTAGTGTATGAGAAATGTTTGAAAAATTATCACGTAAACTTTGAAAATCGTGACCGCGCGAATAATCGATATTACGTGATAATATTTTAGGCTTTACTCGTCTCATTGAAGGGTTAAGTATATCGAGATACTAAATCACCAAACATCATTCTCAGCGAAAATCAGAGATAAATCACTCGAGAGATTTATATATCGCATGATTGCATGATATAACCAGAGAATGTTGGTTCTCCAGAATATACAGGATTCAACAGAAGCCGTAGCATTATATCTATGTATCTTGAAAATAATTTTTCTGCAAAATATCATCGAGACGTTATTTTAATCGATATCGTTCATTCACATACTTTCCTGATACAGAATAAGTGTATTCACGAGGCAATACGTAAATGTATCCATATATTGAAAAATTGCATGATGGCGATGCAGTAAAGTCTCGCGTGTCCGTATTTGATAATTCACACACGATTGTGCAAAACGATCTCTGTGTTTTTCTGGGAAAATATTGCGCTCAGTTTCGCTTTTCTTAACAGTCATAGCGTTGTAACAACGTATACACCAGAACGATTTGGTGTAACGAGAGATAAGAGAAATATTAGTTCTCCCGTTACAGTTTGCGCGTTAATTTTAGACGCCGGGCGGCTAATTCTTAGGCCTAAGCTTTTGTAACCCCAACGATGTCACACGGCCGTGCGTTAATGATTAAGCAATATCGACGATTTATCAATATTAATATTATTATTACAGCTATTGCTATGATGATAATGATGATTATTCTCTCTATTATATTATATTATTGTGAGATTATTATATTATCATCAAGACGATAATAAGATTAATTGCTATGATTATTATACGCAACGTTGCCTATGTTATGTTATCATTTTATCTACGAACAGTTGTAAATTGACCAAAAACTATATAAAAAGATTAATAAAAGGCCTTAACAAGAAGCGTTCGTTCATTTCAATATTTTCTGTCCTCTTGTACTCGTTTATTTTTTCATTGATTTATGTGAGGTGTCTATGGTACGATATGACAGAAAAATTGGCATGACACTCTGGGTTTCATAAAGTATTATCATCGAATTATATATATATATTTTTTTTTCTCGAATTCTCCCTTCAGATAATTAACTAATTTATATTTTCAGAAGTAATTAATTATGCATGAAAAAATATTTCGTTAAAAAAATCAGGTTTTTTTTATTAATATTTGTGTGTCAAGGAATCGAAGGGTAAGTTATTTGTCATATTTTCTGGATTTTTTCCCCTTCAGATAATTAATTAATTTACACTTATAATACCTTTTCAGAAGTAATTAATTATGCATGAAAAAAATATTTGTTGAAAACAAATCAGGTTTCTCTTCTTTGAATATTTACGTATGAAGGAATCAAAGGCTAAATTACGAAAATCTGTCATATTTTCCGGATTTTTTTCCACGTGACGACGACGAAAGAAGGCTTATTACAAGGCCCAATACCTCATGGATAGACGGCCTTGCCGCAGATGGCGAGACGACTCTCCTCGAGAGTGTGTATCTCAACTTCTCTCGGGTACGAGCGAGTGTGTGAATCTCGGAAGGAGCCACTTTTGAAATGTCCGACCGTCGCGCGCGAGATTTACGATCGGTCGTAGTAGGCTCGATAATAACAGCGACGATTGTGCCAGACTTTATAGGTATTAGCATAAAAGACGGCACGGGCGTGCGCGTATTTTCTGATCGATGAGCCTTCTCTTCCTTTCGTCAGTTCGAAGCGACATCGGTCACTCCTCGAAAGTGAGTGAGACTTTTTTAAATAAGCAGAAACTATTTTGCGCATTTGATTTTTTTCTAAAAAATTTTAAGGCTGTATATATGTATATAGTCGTCCAAATGTTTAAATATACTAAATTATGTGAAATAATAACAGACATAAAAAATAATGAAATACTATAAAATTATCTGTGCTTTCGACCTTATTAATATTAATTGACTATCGAATTACATTACTATAATGAATCAAGGATCGTTAAATTTTGGTATCGAATAAAAGTTATATTTAAATTGATTAGTCTGAATTATTTTAAGGAGAACTTATTTATAAATTATTGGAGCGTACATTTTATATCGAATATCTTTTAATAAAGCTCATAAGTTTTAGCATCAAGGATTCAATTAGAAACATACCTCACATTCGAAATAATAATGTTTATGGCTAATAATTTTGTAAAAATATTACGTAATTAACAAATAGACAGAAATCATAAATTCCTGATAGACATAGAGATTTAAGCGGAGAACGGAGTAAATGCAAAAACTAGTTTCGACAAACAATTGCACACGATTATCTCAATTTTTGTCGTTATCCGACCATAGAAAGGACAAGTGATTGGTCAACGCGTGGAATTTTTAACTGGTCCCCTTTCAGAGGGCCAGCGCACTTTTTATACGTATTTCGTTTTCTTCGCTTTAACTGTAATGTCATTACTGTGAAAGTACTCCCACACTCCCACACTGATGATCTTACCTCATCCAAATTTGCGCCACGATTTTATTGCTGGCGAACACGCGGATTGCGTATAAATAGAATGCACCACATACTCACGCATGCCTCTCGTCGTAAGAGAAATTATTTGCGTGACGACGCGTGAGCACGATCTAATGCTTAACAAAAGGAACTTTCACATATTTTTATCCTTTATATAAAAATAAGATATCAAAAAGATTGCCTTGTGCCTTGAAAGGCTGAATAATGTAATATAAAATATTAT